GAAGATGACAACAATGGTGACGGAAGATTTTAATTGAAAAGCGGTGAAGATATTTTTTTCTCTTTTTTTATGTCAACTTATTTTTATTCATTTTTAAATACAACTTAATTTAATAATTTTGGGTCTTAACATATTCTGTGGTGAGAATATTCGTCCAGGAAATACCTCGATTTTTTAATTTAGTTTTGTTTCTAAATTTTCTGAAAATAATATTCTAATATATGAAAATGTTTAACACTTTTAACTTAATAATACTATAGGTTATATTAGCTGAAAATATAAAAGAGAAAAAAACTTTTATTATATTTTCATTTTATTCTCAAATCGTACTTTGATTAGATCTTTTGGTTTTGTTGGAAATGGTTTTAAACCATCTAATTAAAAAACGACACATCTGCAAAAACAAAAGCTTATTCATATTTTGAAGTAATAGTTTGATATATTTTTTCTACAAAAAAAAATGTATTTTAGCAGACGAACAAACTAGTACATTACTACAGTGATTCAGGAAAACTCCATTTCACACAAACGATAGACAATTGTATTGTACAACACTAAATATGAACAAATCGTCGCATAATACACGAAACTATAATAGATGACTTTACCGTCAATATTATAAAACTCAAATAAATTTCATATTTATTAATATATAGAAACTGAATTATATAAAAATTAAATTCCATATATTCAGTTTCTAAACCCTTGAGGGTTTTTCACAATCAAGATTCTGTAGTATCATCAACAATTAAGTGTATCCAATCAATATTATATACCTTTTTTGTCAACAATTATAATTTACAAATATCTAACCAAATATTATATGCCGACATCAATATTTATACACCAATCGCTATATGCGATCGCTTCCCTACCTTTTTGTTCTTTGCTAAATAGCTTAGTCAATCCTTTCTTAATTAAAATCGAAATTTACACTCATAAATCATAATCATGTGAAATTTTTAATGTTATACACTTATACTTATACAAAAAGAATTGTATTAAATTTGCAATAAATACAAGAAACTATCATTGGAGCGGGAAGAATGGGTCGAAAGACTGTTACTGTCAGTGAAAACAATGCCATGCATTGGTGTTCAAATCTCTCTCAGTCTCCCTTTGACTCCACTTTTTTTTTTTTTTTAATTTTAACTATCTTCTTACCAAATTTATTTCGCTAGATGAATATCC